TTCAGTTGGTTAGAGCGCGGTTTTAAAAAGTCATCTCAATGCAATTTTTTTTTTTTTTAAAGATGACCGGGTAAGGGGATCTTAACCCTTGACTTGGTGTTGTCAGCACCACGCTCACCCAGTGAGCCAACCGGCCATCCCTATATTTGGCAGCAAAGAAAAAAATGCTTCTGTTCATTAATTTTTTCTTCCTAGCTGCTGTGGATTTGCCATTTACGCATAAAACTCAGTCACGATAAGCCAATAAATATTCCCATCGACTGTAGGAGTAAAAGAGGTTTAAAAGCACAATATGTTATTTTGATTCTTATATTTTTGTCTTTTTAATAGACTGAAAGTCATAGATGCATTTTTGATGATAAATGTCTATGTACCAAAAATACTTTTTGAATAGAGACCAATATGTGAATACGGGAGTGAGGTATATAAACACCCGTTTCATCAGTGTTAGGATAAAATTCAGCCTTTCTTAAAACACGTAGTTTGATAACTGCTCAATCTCAAGTAAATAAAAATTGTAATTTAGAGAACAATGCTTAGGGCCTTGTGCACTGCCGGTGGGGACGTCCGTGCAGTTGCTACGGAAAACAGCAAGGTGGGTCCTCACATTATTCAGCGTAGAGTTACCAGCAATGCTACTTGTGGGCGTGTAGCCATAAGAATTGAAAGCAGGGTCTTGGACAGATATTGCACCCCGATGTTCGCAGAAGCATGCCTCACTACAGCCAAAGGCGTCCATCGATAGATGAGTGTATAAAGAAAACGTGGTACATACATGCAACAGAACATGATTCAGCCACAAAAAGGAAGCGAATCCTGACACACGCTACAGTGTGGATGAACCTTGAGGACATTGTGCTCAGTGACATAAGCCAGACACACAAGGACTAACACTGTGTGATCCCACTCACAGGAGGCCCCTAGAGTTGTCAGATCCACAGAGACAGAAAGTAGAAAGGGGGGTGCCAGGGGCTGGGGAGGGGGATGGGGGTGAGTGTTTAATGGGGACAGAGCTTCAGTTTGGGGAGAGGAGAAAGTTCTGGAGATGATGGTGGTGATGATTGCACAGCCATGTGAATGTGCTTGTAGTGGATTAAATTGTGTCTCCCAAGTTTTATGTATTAGAAACTTGATCCCCACCGTGTTAAGAGGGTGGGAAATCCTATTAGGGTCATTGGAAGGTGGAGCCTTGGAGAGGTGATTGGGTTCAGGGCCTCGCAGTAGTGAACGGATTAAAAATGGTGCTCGGGGCGTGGTTCTGGGGGCTTTACAAAGAGAGTGAAGGAGGAGGTTACTCTCCGCTCTCCCTGCTCCACCATTTTCGCAATGTGACACCCTGCCGTCACTGTCATCACCGCCAAGGCCCTCACCAGATGTGTTCCCCGGGCTTTGGACTTCTTAGCCTCCAAAACTGTAAGCAATACTTTTCGTTTTCTTTGCAAATTACCCAGTTCCATGTATTTTGTTATAAACAACAAAATGTGGACTAATACGATACTTCATGCTGCCGAGCTGTGCGCTTAAAAATGGGTAAGGTGGTAAATTTTATGTTTTGTACATTTTTCCCCTATTTTTTTTTTTAAAACATGACCGGTGAGGGGATCTTAACCCT